CCCAGCCCACCAGCCTTTTTTATTTTTTTATTTGAGACAGGGTCTCACTAAGTTGCCCAGGCTGGCCTCAAACTTGTAGTCCTCCTGCCTCAGCCTCCATGCCCAGCATGAGGGGGACATGTGTTTAAACTATCATGTGCACCTACTGTGTGGCAAGAACTGTGCTCGGTGTTGGGAATACAAGAGTGAGTAACACAGACAAGAATCCCAGGCCTTGCAAAACTGACCTCCTATTGGGGAGGGGGAAAGAGAAATTCAGTAAACAGATTAAGTGAGCAATTACAGTGGCAAGTCAGGGAGCAGCAGGGGCGAAGAAGGAAGAAGAAAGGTCAGAGGACAGATGAGCAGCAGTGGGGAGCAGCTGCCAGAGGTTCCCTGCTCAGGGGCCTCTGGGAGTGAATGAAGTGAGGGCTGGGAGCATCAGGTGGAACAGCATTCTGGGCAGAGGGGACAGCCAATGCCAGGCCTTGAAGTGGGATCACAAAGGTGAGTTTGGGGAACAGTGAGAGCCCAGTGTGCCAAGTTGTCCCCTGATGACAGTCAGCATTGCAGTCACTGAACACCTGCTGAGGACAGAAGTCCAACACAGTGCCTTTTCTCCTCTCCTGCTTACTATTATTTTACAGAACAGTGAGGCCCAGAGGGCAGGAGTCTTGCTGGAGGTCAAGTGGCAGAGCCAGGACAGAATCCCAGGCATGGAAAAAAGTAAGCACTCTCCTCTGCCTGGCTCCAGGGCAGTCCAGCACCCCCCCCACCCCCCCACCAACCTGCAGTCCAGACCTGGAGAGGCACTGGGACAGATGTGGGCCAGGCCTCCACTCACTGGGTGACCTTGGGTAACATTCTTGACCTTCATTTGTAAAGCAGGGGTGAGGATCTGTTGCTCACAGGCCTGGTCTCTGTGGCTGCCCCTGAGGACACATGACCCTCGCACACCTCACACTCAATTGGAGATTTATTTATTTTGAATTTTTTTAGTTGTTGATGGATTTTTATTTTTATTTTTTTTATATGTGGTGCTGGGACTCGAACCCATTGCCTCACACATGTGAGGTGAGTGCTCTACCACTGAGCCACAACCCCAGTCCCCCAATTATAGATTGAAATCAACTTTATTGATCACATGCTGTGTGCAAATTCTCCTCCCTCCTCCCAAGCTCTTGATGTACTTTCTTTTTTTCTGGTAATAGGAATTGAACCCAGGGGTGCTCCACCACTGGGCCACACCCCTAGTCCTTTTATTTTTTATTTTGAGTCAGGGCCTCACTTAGTTGCTGAAGGGTTCCTACCGCCTCAGGCGCCCGGCTCCCCCAGTTGCTGGGCTTACAGGCTGCACCGTTGTGTCTGGGATTAATATACACTTTCTCATTAGATTCTCCCCCACACCCAGTGGGGTCAGCCCTGTGACTGTCCCCATTTTACAAATGAGGAAACTAGGGCCCGAAGAGTCTAAGTGTCCACACAGGTAGCAAGATGCAGAAAAGAGACTTCTAAACCTGTCTGCATGACCCCAGAGCCTTCATGCTTTTTTTTTTTTTTTAAATATTTATTTTTTAGTTGTAGCTGAACACAGTATCTTTATTTTATTTATTTATGTGGTGCTGAGGCTCAAACCCAGGGCCTCGAATGTGCCAGGCTAGCGCTTTACTGCTCAGCCCCAGCCCCAGCCCCAGCCCAGAGCCTTCATTCTTAATTATGGGCCCCCTCACGCCAGGGTGTGCTGTCCCTGAGGTGGAGAGAGGCTCTGCTCCTGAGGGACTTAACCTTTCAGTACTCTGGTTTCTCATCATGACATGGGGCCATAATAACATTAACAACAGGGGCTGGGGATGTGGCTCAAGCGGTAGCGCGCTCGCCTGGCATGCGTGCGGCCCGGGTTCGATCCTCAGCACCACATACAAACTAAGATGTTGTGTCCGCCAAAAACCAAAATATAAATAAAATATTTAAAAAAATAATAATAATAACATTAACAACAACAACAGTAACACTCCTACCCCAGGCTGCTGAGGTGATTGAGTTAACATTTCTAAACTGTCCACAGCTGCCCAGTATACTAGCCCTAGCTACTCTTGACCATTTACATTTTAATTCATTAGCATTAAAGTTACAAGTTCGGTGCTTCAGTGACACTGGCTACACTTTGAGAGCTCGATTACACTACATGTATTGCCATCACTATTAGGAAACTTCTACAGCTATATTATCATCCTATCATTTTATTAAATACAAAATTATATTCATTGCTGTTAAACATTAATGGATTAATATTATTGTTATTAAATTTTGCAGTGCTGGGGATCAAACCCAGAACCTGGGGCATGCTAAGAAAGAGCTCCACCATTGAGCTGGGTCCCCACCCCTGTGTTGTTATTAATATTTATAATCCTAGACCTGTTGATCATGATTTGATTATTACAAATATCTGATTTTTATCTATCTTCACTCTTAATCCCCTAATAGCTCACAGTAACTGTTGCTATTAGTTAGACCGGCTGACCATTGTTATATTGATTGTTCATTAGCTCACTTCTTATTGATCCGCAGCCTGTTGACCTTTGTTGATGTCAGCCGTGGCTGTGCCTGTGAACGGTGTGGCTCTGGTGGCTGGGCTGATCCGGAGCCGGGCTGAGCTCGGCAGGCGTCGGTGCGGTGCCCGCCCTCCAGGCTCTGCACCGTAGGAAGGGCGTTCGGACCCGCTGGTTTCCGGAGCCTCCGGGGCGTCGTGGGAACCGAGGGACCCGCCGGCCACGACCTGCGCTGGAAGCCCTTTTGCCTTTCTAAGGAAAAACCCAAAGTGAGAAGTCTTGGGACCAAGGAGAACACCGAAGAAGAGCCTGGGCTCTCGTGGGGCCGCTGAGCGAGAAGCGAGGAAGGAAGCCGGGTCGGGCCTCAGAGAAATCTGGCAGGCAGGGAGGCTTGAACTGTGATTAAAAAGGGGAAGAACCGCAAGTCCCCGTTTAAGTCAGCAGAGCTGCTGTCTGGGCAGCGAGAGGGAAAGTGCTTGTGGCTGGCAGGTTTCTCAGCCAGTTGGCAGAAGCGGAGTACCTGGCTGCTGCATCTGTGCCACCTGGCCTGGGGTGCTGCTCTCGGCCTGGGTCTCCCCAAGAGTAACGGAGAATTAATAACGGGGTGCCAGTTTAGACTTTCTTGATATCTTCCCCCCTTGTCGCACAATGTCAGATGTGCGAACATCACAAGGACACTTCTTAATGGGGGTGTCAGCTCCACACTTGGCAACTTGAATCCAAAATTCAACAACAGGTTCTTTCGCTTAAAACCTTTCTTGGCTCCCCCTGCCCTCGAAATAATTGCCAGACTCCCCGCCAAGCCTTTGAAGACACCTTGTAAAGGGCCTTCCTCTCCACTCTAACCATAGGGCAGGGCAGATCTCTCTACTGCCTTTTTAATTTCCTCCAACTCACTAAACATATTCCTACCTCAGGACCTTTGTACCTGCTGTTCCTTTATCGGGAATACCCTTCCCTCCACTTTATCATGTCTGGATCCTTCTTGTGGATAAAACATTAGCTTCTCAGAGATGTCCTTCCCAAGCTCCCAAAGACAGTCTCCACCCCCTCCATCCTGTAACTGTTATTGCCTTCTTCATAAGTTACCCTTTTAATGCGTACCCTCACCAGAATGCGAGTTCCATGAGGGAAGGGACATTTGTTTATTCTCTGCTGTGTCCCTAGACACCGTGCTTGGCATATAGCAGGTATTCAATACCTATTTGTGGAAAGTACATTTTTGTTTTTTCTTCAAGGGCAGTGGACTCTAGGAATCCTTCCGCAGACCAGCTCCCTTCCGCCCATCTGTTGAGTCTGGAAATCCCCACTTTCTGGGGAACCCCTTCCTGCAGCTGCAAGGGGAGGACTTAAGGAGCACCTCTTTAATTAGCATGAGCCAAGCCCTGAGCTAACTGCTTTAATGCATTCACTCATTTAATTCTCCCAACAACCCAGTGGGCTGGGGACACTTACTATTTCCACTTCATTCAGATGAGGAAATTAAGGAATGGAGAAGTCAAGTCATTTGCAGTAAGGGGGAGGCAGTAGCCCGGGAGGAGCCTGCTTTCTGGGAAGGGTTGAAGTGGCCCCTCCAAGCTGGGGGCGTGGGCGGTTTGTTTCCTGTTGGGGGAGGGGGAGAAGAGCAGACATTCCTCTCTGCCCTCCCTCCCACGTGTCCGGGGGGAAAAGGCTGGCTGAGTATGCTCCACAACACAGCAAGGGACACCCCACTGTCCATTACAACCCCATGAAGCCATAGGAAAAAGGTAAGTGGCCCGGTGGCGTGCAGAGCTGGAGGCTCAGAGCGCAGCAACGCCAGCAGTCCGGGAGGGCTTCTTGGAGAAAGATACACCCCTTCTGGAGAGGGGAACAGGTGGCCGGGTAGAGGCTGGTCAGCACGGGCTCGGGCTCGGGCTCGGGCTCGGGCCACGGCGAAAGCAGAGCTGAGAATGGGGACAGAACCCGAATAGGGAAGGTTGGCGGGCGGGCTCGGCAGAGTCGCGGATAGTCGGGGCCGGGCAGGGCTGGGCCCCCTCCCCGGGTGATGATGAAAGCTGCGATCGCTATTGCACTGTCGGGCCGGAGGACGCCGATAAGGCCCAGAGGGAGGGAGTCACTAGGGGCGCGTCCCCCCCAGGCCGGGCGGCTCCGCCCCGCCCCCGTCCCACCTGGCCCCGCCCCCGCCACGCTTAGGCAGTCGGTATCTAGCAGGCTTCAGGTGGGTGGCGCCGCCCCTCCGGCAGTCTTTTCTTTAGGTTGCGCGACAATAATCCGGTGGCCCGGGTGTGGGCGTGGCTCGAGGAGGCCGCGCCTCTGCTCGGGCAGCGTCTGGAGACCCCAGGACCCGGCGGGCCACGGAGGAGCGGAATCGGTGGGTGGGGCCAGGCCAGGCCCCGCCCCTGCCGAGCCCCACGGCCGCTAGCGGAGGGCAGGGGCGTGGCTCCCCGTGGTCCCGCCCCGAGGCCGCCCTCCCCCGCGGGCTCGGCGCTAGCAGCGGGTTCCTTTTTACATAACGGCGCGGGGCGGCATGGGCTCGGTCCACCGCCTCCGCCCGGCCGCCCGCCTGGACTGTCGCGGCCCGCGGAGGCCACGGCGGCGGCAGCAAAGTTTCCCTGGTGGCGGTCCGGGGGCGCATCCTCCCGCAACCGTCAAGCGCTGGCGGCGGAAATGATGAGGCGCTGGCCATTTTCCGAGCCCGGGTTTCCTGCCTGAGCCCCGCTCCTGAGAGCCGCGAGCGCGGAGCCGGCGCGCGGGAGCGGACGCGCCCGGGGCGGGGGCCCGCCCACCCCCTCGGGACTTCGGGGGGCCGGGGGCGCGCGACGCCATGGGCAGGCCGGGCCCGAAACCCGTCTCTCTCAGGTAAGCGCGCCGTGCGCTCCCCGAGGCCGGCAGGGCTCTGCGGGGATCAGGAGGCCCGCGCCCAGGGCTGCCCGGGTTCTGCGCACGCCCGCGGCGGCCCCACAGACCGTCCTGCCTCTAACTCGACGGAGGAGTCGGAGGGCGCGTTCCCGGCCCCGGCGACGCGCCCCGGCCGACACCCCCACCCACACACGTGCTGGGCTCGGTGCGGCAGCTGGGCGCTGAGGGCGCCGAGAGCGCGCAGCCGACGCCTCCGGCCTCCCCAAAGCTGGTCGGGGGATCGGCCCCAGCTGGTGCCTGAGGAGAGGGTTGCGCGGTCGCCGCGCCAACTGTGAAGTGAAAGTGGGTCCAAGGAGACAGTGAGGATGGGCGAGCCCCTCCCCATTTTGACCTCAGGCCATGCACTAAGAAGGCAGCAGTCCAGTTCAGGAGACCCCCTGTCACTCCTAGCACTGCCCAGGTGGGTTTGGCCAGGCTCCCACGCACCACTAAACTAAGGGTTCAGTGGGTTTGGGGATCCCAGAGCATGGGATTCTCTAAACTGGGAATCCCCCCCACCAAAACTGAGAGGATGTTGGGCTTATAGGTCAGCGTTGCCCGAGGGTATTTCAGGGGACTTTGAAAGTCCCTGGTGCAGAAAACCCCTCCTTCCTTTCCCCTGGCCAGAAAGCTTTTTCTTGGAGGGGGACTGCATTTAAGGAACTGGGGAGGGGGTCTGCCTGCCTGTCCCACTTCTTTTTTTTTTTTTTTTTCCCTTCCTAATTTCCTCATTCTCCTGTTTCTCTTCCCCATTCCCGGGCCACAATGATGTAGGTGAGGAGGTCATTGCTTGCAGCTGGGGGACTCCAGGGAGGGGCATGGCTAGGCTGGGCTGATGGGAGGAAGTGAAATCTTGGGTGGCTGGTGGGGGCAGGCGGGGGCTTTGGAGCAGAGGGCCTGACACGGCAACATCTGCAGGGCCAAAGTCCAGGTTTGATGACAGGAGGACTGAGATCTGAACCACAGACCCTTGCCAGAGAAACGCATCCTCAGATACCAGGCAGCTGCCAGCCAGGCTTTGCTGGGGCAACTGGGCCAACCAGCCTTTCATTTACAGTTGGCCTTGGGGCCCTTGCCAGGGAAGTGGGCATGTGTGTCTCTGGGGATGTGGGTGCAAGTTGTGTTTGGATTTCCCATCACTGACCTGGTGGCCAGAATAGAAATAGCTTCACAGTTTCCTGGGAACCTGCAGGGCCTGGGGACATAATGGGGAAAGAGCAGACAGAGGCCACCTGGGCAGACTGGACTCGGGGGATGAGAGACCAACTGAGGCCCATCAGGGAAGTTGGAAGAGTTTTTACGGCACTTTTTCTGAGCCTTTTCCCACAGCCCCCCTCTGGGAGGGAAAATTCTTCTGAGCCAAAGGGTGAACATTCCTACAACTTGTGTGAGTCCCTGTGGGGCACACAAGCAGCCAGCTGGGAAGGGGCCGGCCTGAAGTATCAGCAACTCAGGTCTGAGGACCTTCAGGGCTCAGTGGTGGCAGAGGAATGTCCTGGAGGCTGAACTTTCATTCCCCCTCTGCCTCTTTCCAAGCTGAGGTATGGGCAAGTAACCCTGTCCACCTCGGTTTCTTCTTGTATAAAATGGGGTAATAACAGGTTTGCAGAAAAGTTTTAATGAACTGGTGTGTGAAAGGCACCTGCTGCCTGGCACAGAGAAGGGTTCAATTACATGCGGGGGAGGGGGGGTTGTTGATTTTGTCATTACCATCAGCAGTGTTATTGTTACGGGTGTGAAACGTTCCCTGTCAGCTGTCCTGCACTGCCCTGGAGTTCCTCCAGTCTTGGGAGAAGAATTTTGAAGACTTGGGCAAGATGAGATGATAGCACTTCCTGGCTAAGAGGTCTTGCTTACCGTCTGTGGCCTCAGTTTTCTCATCTGCCAAATGGGTGTGGTAAGAGAACCTACTCCTTAGGGTCACCGGAAGCATAAATGAGTAACTTCATAGAGAGTTTAGCGTGGCATTGTCAGGAGCAGACTAAGGACGGTTTGTTCTTTGTTGGGGAGGTTAGCTCTGCTTGATTTTCTTCCTTATCCACCTGCCCCCAAGCCTCTCAACCCTGGGTTTGAACCTCCTTCTATGAGAAACAGACCTTTCTAATCAGATCCTGTAGAGCTATTCCAGCAGCCCTCAGTCTGTGGTGGCCTTCAGGTGCCTAGGTCCAGCTGTGCCATCCCAGAGTTTCTCCACCTCCAGGGTGGAACATTATTGGGGGCAGAGCCGCAGATACTTGGAGGGACCTTTTAGCTCTCAAGCTCAGGGCGACCTACCCCTGGTGAGGGAAGATAGGGTGTCCTATCCAGCCATGAAGGGCTCAGTGAAGGGGATCCTGGGAACCTGGCAGGGAGCTGCCCCTAATCTGGGCCAACACTATTCCCTTTGCTGAACAGGTCTTTAGGGACCAGTTTATATATCCCCCACACCCTTATGGGGTTTTCCTGAGGCTCTCCCATTGCTGGGAATCCTTGTGTGGGTCACTTCATCTTTCTGAGACAATTAAGTCARTTTCTGTGAAAGATTTTTAATAGCTATGGAGCTTGATGAGAGGAGGCATATAAAGTGCTCAGTTCTGGGCTTGGCACTCGATGACCAACAGTAAATATTAAATGAAGACCTTTCTGTTCCGTCCCCCACTTCTCCCTGTAGCAGATGGGCTGTGGAGCAAGGTGGTCTCTGCTAACTTCTAACTCTGAGGCCATGGTGAATTATCTGACTTCTGCTGGGATCTGCCCAGTGGAGGCCGAGGGTCTTGGTCACTCAGATGATTGTGGGAAGTGTATAAGCCTGGCGTGGAATAGGGACACGGAACTGTGTTGGCTGTGGTTACGCTGGCAGTGTGACCTGGGTTGTCGGTCTCTTTAAGCTACAGGTCTCGTCTGTAAAATGGGGTCCTAATGACTATCTGACAATTGTTTTGYATGCAGTCAGTGCTCAATAAGTGCAAGCTACTGCTGTTAATAATGTGGGGGGGGGGCATTTAATTGCCAGGCTTCCCGGGAAGAGGGTCCCCAGGACCTCTCCCAGTGTTGAGCATCTTTGGCTGGATCAGGTAGGAAGCAGCATCCATCTGACAGAAGGGTCCTCAGTGTCCAGTGGGGCTGTGTGGCCACACGCTCCCAGCCAGACCCTGTTTCCTCTATCCCCTCTCCCTGAAGAAACTGAGGTGGGCAGGCTGCCCAAGGGAAGTGACTCAGCTGGGGTCACTTGTTGAGTCAGGCCTAATTGGACCCTGTAGCCCTGCACCCCGGTTTCCAGTGGCTTAAGGTCCCTTGGGGACTGTACAGGTCCCCAGGTCAGGCAGGAGATCCTTGGTCACAGCCAGGCATCCCTTACTTGGGCCCCATGGCCTATGCAGCCAATGTTCCTGTCAGGGCTCTGGGTCTCACTGGCCACCTCTAGGCTGGGTGTCCTTCCCTGCAGCAGGGGCAAGGGACACTTCCCCAGGGAAGCAGGTCCTCCTGGAGGCCCTGGGCAGCTCTGCCCTGGCCGGAAACCCAGCAGCTGAGCAGATGGCTGGAAGATTTCTCCTCCCACGCTACCCTGTCAGGGGTCGTCAAGGGGGGGTGGTGGCCTGGCTGCAGGCTTCCTTGCAAGGGAGCCAGGCCTGGAGCCCCTGGGGGCCCTCCCGGATGTACCCCCCCCAATGGCTGTGGGAGGGGTGGGGAGCTGACTGAATGTCCCCAGAGAGGCCTGGGAGGGAGGAAGTCTGTGCCCTGCTAACAAGCCAGACTCGGGCGCCTGACAGGGCCTGGATGCAGGAGGCCAGGGAAGAACAGGATCTACTGGCTGGAGTGGGGGACACAAAAGCCTTTCACATGGAGTCTGTTCCTTCAGACCTTGCCTTGTGCCCAGAGAGGGCAATGTGTGTGGGGAGAGGTGCACAGGAACAGAGGCCTGAATGCCCTCCTGGCTTCCTGAGCCGCATGCTGAGTGGAGGGGGGATTGCTGCAGGTTTACTCTAGTCAGGGTCTCCCCTGCCCTCAACCCCAGGGCAGTTACAGGAAGAATCCACGTCTTGTGAGGGGTGGGAGTGGGAGGCGGACGTTAGAGGGTACTACACATCCTTGGGGAATGGCCCTGACTTTCCCCACCTCTCTAAGGCCGAGGCAGGGCGGTGGCTGGCTGGGGTGGCAGGCTGGGGGTGGCAGAGGAAGCCAGAGGACATTTCCTGTTCTGGCAGACTGTGCCGGCCTGATAAATGTCGCCAGGGAACTAGGTGACCCCGGAGAGGAGCATCAGGGGCCAGCTGGCTGCCCCATGGTCTAAGGCAGAACCCACCTCAACCTCCACAGGGTGGGCAAAGCCCCTGCTTCCTGGGGGCTTCTCCGGCTGTCTCCTTGAATGCTGAGGGAGTGGTGTGTTGAGTCCTTCAGCTCTCTGAGCCTCCTTGGGTAGTTGGTGCTGCAGTGGGAAAGATAGATGTTCTCGAGGCCTAGGGTCAACCTGAGGGCCTCCTAGAAGGAGGTGTCCCCCTCTGAGAGTGAGACTTCCTGCCCAAATATCTAAGAGCTGGGGCAGCAGCAAGGGCTCTTGACTGGCTCTCTATTTATTCAGCAGTGCTGGGGATCAAAGTAGGGGTACTCTACCACTGAGCCACACCTGGCCCTTTATTTTATTTATGTATTTATTTATTTATATGCAGTGCTGAGAATTGAACCCAGTGCCTCACACATGCTAGGCAAGTGCTGTTTCCACTGAGCCAAACACCCCAGCCCTTTTTATTTTTTTGAGACAGGAGATAGGGTCTCCCTAAATTGCCCAGGCTGGCTTCGAACTTGTGATCATCCTGCCTTAGCCTCCAGAGTAGATGGAATTATAGGCCTGCACCACTGCGCCCTGCTCGGACTGGCCAGTTTTAACTTCACAATTTAGCTCCCAGCCCCACCCCCCAAAGGCCTGGCAGGTGGCATTTCCACAGGTGGGTAAAGGCTTTCTGTGTGGGTGGGCTGGTCATTAG